AAAAAAAAAAAAAAAAAAAGAAGATAAACATTTAAAATCTTGGCTAAATTTCCCTGCTGAATATCCGTGTACCATGTTATTCCACCAATAGAGTATGGACTAAAACTGATTTTCTGTACAAATTCTTTTTACAGTAGCTCTGAAATTATTGTTATTATTATTATTATTATTTTGAGACAGAGTCTCACTCTGTCACCCAGGCTGGAGTGCAGTGGCGCAATCTCAGCTCACTGCAACCTCCGCCTCCCAGGTTCAAGCGATTTTCCCACCTCAGCCTCCTGAGTACCTGGGATTACAGGTATCTGCCATCATGCCCTGCTAATTTTTGTATTTTTGTAGAAACAGTGTTTCACCATGTTGACCAAGCTGATCCACCCACCTCAGCCTCCCAAAGTGCTGTGATTACAGGTGTAAGCCACCGCACCCGGCCCTGAAATTTGTTTTTAAGAGACTGTATTAATATAAATATTGTTTAGGATGGCATTATGCAAACACATTATAAGAACAGTAGTATTTTCATTTTTATCAGGATGTGTCAGCTCTAGAAATAAGTTGCAGATGGTGAAATCGATTACAGTTTTTTGGACAGTTTTTATAATTCAGGATTTTTTAATAGATATATTTATTGATGTCCTCCCCTTTTACAGTGCAATCAAAGAAAACAGAAATGCCTCTGAGATTGTCAAAACGGTAAATTTGCTGATCACTTCTCTAAGCACAGACTTTCTCTGGGATTATATGACGAGGTGTTTTGAGGAATGCTTTAGGTAAGTATGCAGTTTGAGAATACAGAATATTTAGGAAGGATGAGAGGGTTTAACGATTTTGTAGCTGCTTAGAATGTCAGATTATATATAAGTAGCTGAAGCTGAGTAGTCTTTCCTGAGTTTTAAAATTCAACTAAAACAGGATTGGGAAGAATTCACTTAAGATTCTAGCAGAATAAAAACATCTCCAATAAGAAGGTTCACATAATCTTTGCCTTGTAATTCTGAAGCTGCTTTAAAAGTCTAACTTTAGAAAATCCTCCGTGCATTTTCTCGTTACATTCATCAAATCAGCTTTCCTCTCCTGGCTGCCTGATCTGTTGAAAGCAACTTAATTTTGTGGCTTTGTGACTGGATAGAGCGTTTTTGAAATCTTCAGTTTTCTTAAATTTTTACTGAAATCAATGGATGACTGGTCAGATAAAAGCATTTCTGTTTTAAGCTATTATAATCAGCTTTACCATCTCTTTTAACCGGGTGAATTGCACCACCTCTAAATTGTCTGCCTTGGCGTACCCCGGGAACACCGAACTTTCCTGGAGAGGCCTTTCCCATGCCATTTTCTTTATGGGAGGAATAAGGTCATGTCGCAAACCCGGTTTTGTCCTATGAGGCATGCCTTGAAACTTATTTCTTGTTCATCTCCACTGTAATGCTCTTGGCTGTCTTAGAGTCTTACTTCTCAGCGGCTACCAGTAGTATGCTTTTCTGTCCAAATAAGCTCACAACCCTGGGATGAATAAGTTAACTGCAATTGGATCCACAGGCAACAGCAAGGCCATATTTTATTGAGGTTAGAGTATGCTTTGGTCAGCCTGGCTGTTATGTTATGTTATTTTTTATTTTATGACGGTGTCTCTCTGTCACCCAGACTGGAGTTTACTGGCACGATTCCAGCTCACTGCAACCTCTGCCTCCCAGTTTCAAGCGATCTTCCCATCTCAGCCTCCCAAATAGCTGGGACTACAGGCACAGCCTCCCAAGTAGCTGCGACTACCACCACACCTAGCTAATTTTTGTATTTTTAGTAGAGACGGGGTTTCACCATGTTGGCCAGGCTGGTCCCAAACTCCTGACCTCAAGTGATCCACCCGACGTGGCCTCCCAAAGTGCTGGGATTACAGGCATGAGCCGCCAAATCCAGCTATCCTGGTTATTTTTTTTAAAAAAAAGAATAAAATGTTTCTACCCAGATAGAGCTGACTCTCCGCCTTTGCAACATTTTGTCCTCCTTTCATCCCAGAGTTAATCACTGTCCTGAGATTAATGTCTGTCTTCAGTATAACATGGCTTTGCTGTTGCCTGTGGATCCTATTACAGTTAATTTATTCATCCCAGGGTTTATGAGATGAAAAGCAATAGATACTTTTTAACTTATCCATTTATCTAGTAGCCTGTTTATATAAAAAGAAGTCTTGAATTTCAGTTTAAGATAAGCAACTAACAATAGTTGATTGGTGGGGTTACACTTCTCTACAGAAGCTGAAGCATTCTAGGCAACTCAGGTGCTGATAAACTCCTGGTATTACTTGGAGAGTAGTCCCAGGCCACCTCCTACAGCAGGGCGAACAGCCGTGTAGACTGTGGTGTTCTCCAGCCCAGCCTCGTTCCCTTGGATTGCGCCTTTGGGCTTGGATTGGGGACCTGGGATTACATCTGTCGACAGCACCCCATGTCTCCTGGGTATGGGACCACACATGTCTGAATCGGTAGAGTTCCAAGTCAGAGGGAACCTGTTTGGACACCAACAGATTCAGGACACTTATTGACACTTCTCCATGTTAGATACTTTTAGTCACCAAAATTTAGTTACGAGAACTACAAAAGCTGTCTTACTTTCGTTAGGTTTGAAGTAGAATAACGTTACTGGAAGTTGTAAGAAATGCTTGGACTTACTGCAGGAAGAATTATTTATTTTTATTATCTTTTTTTTTGAGACAGGTTCTTGCTCTGTCACCCAGGCTGGAGTGCAGTGGTGCGATGTTGGCTCACTGCAACCTCTGCCTCCCAGGTTCAAGCAATTCTCATGCCTCAGCCTCCGGAGTCGCTAGGACTACAGGCGTGGGCCACCACACCTGGCTAATTTTTTTGTACTTTAGTAAAGATGGGGTTTCACCATGTTGCCCAGGCTGGTCTCAGACTCCTGAGCTCAGACAATCTGCTCATCTCAGCCTCCTAAAGTGCTAGGATTACAGTTGTGAGCCTCCACGCCTGGCCCAAGAATTGATTTTTCTTTGCTGTGATTTATAGACCAGTGAAGCAGCATTACAGTGTGAGGAACAGCGTCAGCCCTCCCCCGACGGTGTCGGAGCTCTGCACCCTCCTGGTCTTCCTGCTGGATGTCATTCCCTTGGTGAGTGCTGGGGAAGAGACGGCTCAACACCCGCTATTGTTTACATTCTTACTGGTGGTGATGGCCTGCTTTATCAACCTCATATTACTGAAAATGTTTTACATAAATAGGCAACACTGTTTTGGCATAAAAGATACAGCTAGATGTAATCTCTTATATTTTTAATGTCTTATTTAAAAGGGGCTATGACTTTTGGGCCAGTTGTAAGTGGGCAAAGCTGAAGTTAGGTCAACCAGCTGATGAACTGGGTATCTTTCCCGTACTGCAGTTATTTTAGGGAAAGAGTCAATATGTTTCCTGGTTAAAAGTGTGCTGTTGGCTAATTTTCTCAAAGGAAACTAATTTCCTTAATATAGAAATGTGCCAATTTTATTTTCTATTAGAAAGTGTAAAGCCACTTGCGAGGAGAGGAATAACATCCTTGATTTATCTAGATCAAGTTGAAATACCGAGCCTAGCTCTGTGGTATGCGCTTGTAATTCCCAGCTACTCAGGAGGCTGAGACAGGAGGATTGCTTGAGCCCAGGAGTTTGAGACCAGCCTGGACAGCATAACATGATTCAGTCTCAAACAAAAACAATAGAAATGTTCTTTTCTCTCTCTGTGTGTGTGTGTGTGTGTGTGTGTGTGTGTGTGTGAGTTTTGCTCTTGTTGCCCAGGCTGGAGTGCAATGGCATGATCTCAGCTCACTGCAACCTCCACCTCCCGGTTTCAAGTGAGTCTCCTGCCTCAGCCTCCCAGGTAGCTGGATTACAGGCACTCGCCACCACGCCCAGCTAATTTTTTGTATTTTTAGTAGAGACAGGGTTTCACCATATTGGCTGAGCTAGTCTCGAACTCCTGACCTCAGGTGATCCACCCGCCTCGGCCTCCCAAAGTGCTGGGATTACAGATGTGAGCCACCATGCCCAGCCTCTTTTCTCTTTTTGAGATAGGGCCTCACTGTCACCCAGGCTGGAGTGCAGTGGCATGATCTCAACTCACTGTAGCCTCATCCTCCCAGGCTCAAGCAGTCCTCCCACCTCAGCCTCCCAAGTGTCTGAGACCACAGACATGTGCCGCCACATCCGGCTTATTTTAGTATTTTTTGTAGAGATGGGGTCTCACTGTATTGCCCAGGCTAGTCTCGAACTCCTGAGCTCAAGCAATCTCCCTGCGTCAGCCTCCCAAGGTGCTGGCTGGGATTATAGGCATGAGCTACTGCGCCTAGTCTTCTTTTGTTTTCTGATTTGAAAATTAATGTGAAATTTATGCCCTAAAAAATTGAATTAGATGCCATTTTGAGATGCGTTGTTTTTCTGATTGTAAACCAGCAATGTGGGGTTAACCCATGTGTTTATTTCACAGGAACTGTACTCTGAGGTGCAAACCCAGTATCTCCCTCAGGTGCTCGGCTGCCTGGTGCAGCCTCTTGCTGAGGACATGGAGGCCTTAAGTTTACCTGAACTCACGCATGCCTTGAAGACGTGTTTCAAGGTGCTCAGCAAAGTCCAGATGCCGCCTTCCTACCTCGACACAGAGTCCACCAGCGGAACCTCGGTGTGTGCTCTGAGGGGCGGAAATGGTTCTGGGGGCTAAAAGCAGCTTATGCCTTCATGGGAGTAGAAAGTCTTTAGGGTTGGTTAGGATAGGAATAAACACTAGAAGATACCCAGGTGATATGTCAAATATGCTTGTAAAACTCTCACTTGAAAAAGTTTTAGCACCTGGCCTGGTGCCGTCACTCACACCTGTAATACTAACACTTCCGGAGGCTGGGGCAGGAGGATTGCTTGAGCCCAGGAGTTCGAGACTGGCCTGGGCAACACAGCAAGACCTCATCTCTCTACAAAATAAAAATTAGGCCAAGTACAGTGACCCACACCTGTAATCCCAGCACTTTGGGAAGCCGAGGCGGGTGGATATCCTGAAGTCGGGAATTCAAGACCAGCCTGACCAACATGGCAAAACCCCATCTCTACTAAAAATACAACAATTAGCCAGGCATGATGGCATGTGCCTATAGTCCCAGTTACTCCAGAGGCTGAGGTAGGAGAATTGCTTGAACCCGGGAGGCGGAGGTTGCAGTGAGCCATCATGCCACTGCACTTCAGCCTGGGCGACACAGCGAGACTCTGTCTCAAAAAAAATAAAAAATAAATAAATAAAAATTAGTCATGGTGGTGTTCACCTGTAGTTCCATCTACTCAGAAGGTTGAGGTGGGAGCATCGCTTGAGCCCAAGAGGTTGAGGCTGCAGTGAGCCATGATTGCACGGCTGCACTCCAACCTGAGTAAGAGCAAGACCCTGTCTCTACCAAAAAAAAATTTAAGTTTTAGCACC